TGGCCAACAACCATCATGTGCTTCTTCTCAGAACACTTCTGACTATAGAGGAAAAGTTTAAACATCGTAACAGTGAGTTCCACCAATCTCAAGGCCAGTGGAACAGAAGTGAAAAATTCAGTGGCCTGTCCGTGCTGTTTTTAGATATGAAAATGAAAGACACGTAGGTGATTTCTGTGAGACAAAGTGCCCTTTGTAACCATTAGGTTCCCCCTGGTTCCTTCCCCAGTTTGGGAACAGTTCAGCTGAAGACCTCAGTGGAAACTTTAACCAACCCCCAAGGGGACAGGATTCATTCATTCCAGAGTACTGTGTTATTCTGCTTTTTGCAAAATACCCATAACGGGCAGTTAATTCAGATGAGTGAAGACAAAACACACACACACACCCCAACAGGAAAACACTATCTGACGCCAGTTTAGACTATTTCACAGGAACGAAAAGGAACAGACATGCTCTAGACATATCATGGTCTGCAGTGACCAAACCTACAGGTCTCTCTTCATTCTCAGCCCACAGGGCCTTCCCAGCATCTAGGTACCCAGCCTCTCCTGGAGACTTTATACACTGCATTTTGTAACATATTACTCCTAACACCTTCCTTTTTCCTTTTAGATTACTTCTCAGCCCCAAAGATACCTTTCTCCTGAGATCTAGAACCAGACCTGAGAATCATATTAACACTCCACTCTCAACATGTCCAAAGCCACCTCAGCTCGTCCTCCAAACCTATTTCCCCTCCTCTTCCTCCCCTTTTGCCTAATACACCATGTTTCTCCCAGTCACACAAGGTAGGATGCTTGTGGTCATTTTTCGCTCAATCCTCATGCTCAGCCTACTGTCATCACTTTCCATTTCACTGCTGCATCTTAACTCAGATACTCAGTACTAACTTACCTCTTTATGTGCAGTCATAATCCTGCATATTTTATCCCTTTTTCTAGAGCAACGCCGCAGTTACCATTCTAAGAAATGTACTTGATCACGTTGCTCCTTCATCAAAATCCAATAATAGCTAATTAGAAAGAAGAGGACAGTTAATACATGTTCCTCCTAGAAGATATGACTAAGCAAAATGAAGGAAAGAATATTGTTAGCAAGTATCAGCAGTTCAGCTTGTATGTATTTTTAAACTAGGAAAAGATTATATCATACATATTTGGTTAGCTTCTCTTTTTTCTTTCATGCACCATGAGCATATTTCAATGCCGTTAAGTATTCTACTGTAGGATTTTACTAGCTGTATAATAATTCCATTGTATGAATCACCTTTAAAAAAATCCCTTTGAATTCGGGCCCATCTGTCTGTCCCGTTTCTTCGGTTAGGACAGCCTTGACTGTACCCTGTGGTTTGGTGCCAAGGTCAGCAGGCTACTGCCCGCAGGCCGGATGCAGCTCGTCACCTGTTTTTGTTTGGCCCACAAACTAAGAATGGCTTTTACAGTTTCAACTAACTGAAAAAAATAAAAGAATAATAATGTTTTGTGACGTGAAAATTACATGAAATTCAGTTCATTGTCTATCTCGAATGTACTTGAAGCAGTGATCCAGTTACCCAGACTAGGAGGGAGTAGTTACATTCCTTTAGGCTTGGGAAAGGGAGAACTTCTGGGCCCTATTTGTGATGGTTCCGGCTTGCTATCCAGTCTCTCATTGTACAGTTCGCTGCCCTGGCCAGTTAGCCCCAGTCTTAGATTGCTCCCTGAGTTCCAGCTGACCCTGAATGTGCTTACCTCAGAGTAAGCCAGTCTCAGTAGTCAGCGTTCTGCTTGTGCAGGCTGCGGTTAACTACAGTGACAGAGTGGAGAGGCGGTCACAGGGGAGCATGGGGTGGCGCCAGGGCAGCTTCTCCGTCTCTCAAGAAACATCTGCAGCACTGAAGCACACCTCCCAAATAAAAACAAAGTGTCCCGTTCTTAGTGCTCCTGACAGCTTCAAGTGCGGAACAGAAGTATTTTGTACGTGTTTACGATAAGCATAGGAAAGATAATATCCAAGCACTATTAGGAGCGTAAATCGGGGAGAGCCATTAGTTATCCTGTTAGACGATACAGCAACATGATTAGACAGAGGATTGTAAAAAGAGAAAAATTATATGTCGGGTCCTGATAGAAACAAGAGACTAATCCTTGAGTGAAGATATCAGTATAAAACATTCATATTGGAATGTACTGTGGACATTTAATATTTATATAATGAAAATAAAGATCAAACATGAAATACTGAATGATTACCTAAAGAATAACAGTTGATACTTTTCTAAGAAATATTTTTAACCAACAAAACATTTTTGTGCTCCAGCTGTTTACAGTGTCTTGAACAAACACTTGTAAAGAAGTTTTTATAACTCTTATTTCTTTATTGAAAGAATCATCTTAAAAATAAAAAAAGAGGATGTACTCTATTTGTTAGATTTATCCTTTATTGTAAGACAATTATTAGAGTGATAAAGTCTAGATTGAGTATATATTTGTCATTTTATAAGGTGTATGTCAAGGTTTGAATTATGTCCCCCAAAAAATGTGTGTATCAGTTTGGCCGGGCCATGATTCCTGGTACTGTGTGATTTTCCTGTATGTTGTAAACCTGCCTCTATGATGTTAATGAGGGAGGATGGGTGGCAGTTGTGTTAGTAAGGCAAGACTGGATTGTGTCCTGAGGCAATCTCTTGAGATATAAAAGAGAGAAGTGAGCAGTGAGACAGGGGGACCTCATACCATCAAGAAAGCAGTGCCAGGAACAGAGCACGTCTTTGGACCAGGGGTCCCTGCACTGAGAAGCTCTTAGTTTGGGGGAACATTGATGAGAAGGCCGACAGAGAGAGAAAAAGGCTTCCCCTGGAGCTGACGCCCTGAATTTGGACTTTTAGCCTGCTGTGACTGTGAGGAAATAAATTTCTCTTCATTAAAACCATCCACTTGCAGTATTTCTGTTAGGGCGGCACTGGATGACTAAGACAGTGTAAATTAGAGATTTTAATTTTTTTGATAATCATTAAGTATTTCAGTTTGGAAAAATATCTAGTGTGAACAAATAGCATGGTAACTAAGGGTTCTTAGTCAGTTTTTATACCAAGAAAATATTCACAAAGATGCTTTTTACCTATAAAACATAGACCCTTTTTAACCTTCTGTCTTAGTTATCTTCAAAAAGTTGGGAGGTATAAAGGAATCATAAAGGGTCATATTATTATTTTTGCTTTTATGGTGGCAATATTCTTAGCAATAATAAAAAGTGATCTTTAGTGCTCCATAGTTTGAAATTTTCAAAGCAGCTCTTTTAATTTATACATATATATTTATTTTAATTTGTATATATGTATGTATAAAATCTCTGTTCTTTAAGTTTCCATTTCTCCTACTTGAATTACAATTTAAAATACATTATGGTCAATTTTTCTTTATTCTTTAACCCTCATTCCTCAATTAGCGTTATCTTAGGGCAAGCTTATAATTGAGGACAGAAAATTCCAGAGTTTACCTACAATTATGACATATCTATCTGCTTTGCCATGAGTTTTGCTAAGGATTACGTGGATTGGCCACCAGACTAGAGCTGGATGCTCTAAGACAGGGTTTGCTGCTGGCCGTCTTTCTCTTGAATATGATTACCCGCTGTAATCCTTCAATCCGTACCTTTTTGCCTTGAAAAATAGGAAGGGTGTCTGATTGTATTTAGATATCAGCACATAATTTTCATCTTCTAATTTAGTAATTACTCAGAAACATACACAATAATTACTCTGATCTGTATTACATACTTTATATTTTAAGCTATGATATAAAATACATATTTTTAAATACATATTTTTTATTGTGGGAAACTAAAAAATAGCAATACTTAAAAATTAAATTTTAAAATAAATGATAACAATTACAAAGCAGAAAAATGTTATTAAAAATAAAGGTTAATTTTGAAAAAAATCCCATTTTAATTTAAATACATTGAACTTTGAAGTAAATATCTGTATCTATATATTTAACACATAGTATCACTGGAATCATAACATATTAGCACTGGAAATAACTTTGAAGGTCATCTAAAACAAACCTCCTTTTTACTAATGAGGACACCGGGGTTAAGAAAGACAAAGCATGTGTGCCTAATTTAAACATCAGATATTAAGCTTACTGGTTTGAACACATTTCCAACTACATGGCTTTTAAACCATAGTAACCATTCATTTCATTTTTGCTGTAATATTAGTTAAATTTGGTTTGTCTCTGGTTGTCCTACAAAGTCATCTTATACTGTCAAGACTCAGAGCATGCCACAAATTAGCATAAATATAACTATCAAACAAAATGCTTAGGAAATGTTATTTACAAACTTAAATAAATGTATTTTCATAGAAGTAAAGATTTGCTTACACATGTTAAAAAGGAAGATATAATGGTTAGCTTTTATTTTTACTTATTTTTATGTACAACCATCTGTTTGTGTTGATGTTTCTTTAGAATCTGAAGACAATTTTATGATGCTTTATGTATATATTCTTTTTGACTGATCAATATAATGAAAATATGAATCACATTACCAAAAGACCAAGTGTTCATTATTATTTTATGTAAGTAAATGAATTACAGATTCAGTGATGAAAATTTTTTTTCGTTAGAACGTTTGAATGACTCACTTCAAATATGTGTTTAAAACCATCCCTTTATTTCCCCTACATCGCCACTTAAAATGAGATTATAGCTATTGCTCTAACCACAGAAATGAGAGATTCTCATAGAAATGTGATATTTTATATAAATTAAAACACCACAAGTCCAGATTCTTAGAGTATCTTCACTCACTCCTCACCCTGTTCTCACCATATGCCTGACCCACTACAGGAACTAGTGCAGAGAAATTGCCCTGATGTAAAAACTACAGTAAGGTGACTTAATACAAATGTGACATTTTATGTTTTTTACATGCCCTAATTTAGAATAGAGTGAAAAGCATATGTATATTTTCCTTAATTTCAGCGTATAATACTTTTCTTTCTTTTTCAGCTTTTTAATTAAATGAAGCCAAGTGGGAAATGCGTAAGGTGAATGTTTACCATGAAGATAAACTGTCCTGACATTAGACTGTTCTGAATTCCTGAGTTCACTTCTGTGTTGACTGTGATAAACTAGTTTATTCCTGTATAATTCTTTTAAATGTGGGTTTGCTAGTAAATTTAATTTATAGAAGCGGATGGTAAAATTTAATAATCTACAAAGGAAGCATAGAAGTGTTTTTTGCATATATTATGTTCAGTGTATGCCACAGGATTGAATAAATTACAGTGTAATTATGAATTTATGCTTTAGAACTGTTCACTCATTAGGAAGGAAAACCACAATGTCAGTAGTAAAGGAAACCTATGAAATGTATATTAAAGAATTCTTAGGATTGCACAGGGATAAGGCATATGCATGAAAATATGTCATGTACTGAAAATTGTACTTCTTGCAGTTTCAGTTATAAAGGATGATGTATACTATTACAAATAGTGTTTTGTTCTTATTAATCATAACTAGATAAAGGTATGTGGGTCAGGAGGCTGAATGAGTGGTACCTACAACTTGGATGCTTAACCTAAGAATAGGAGGTTCTTCCAGGAATATAAATCCAAAGCAAACATGTGCTAAATCGGCACACCTCCAAGGCATCCAAGCAATGGAAGCAACGCTCCAGTACTGGGACTTAATTCCTCTCCAGCTTTAGAAGTGTCGTCCAGGAATCCAGACGTAACAACAGACCTCACCCACCAGAGCCATTTTGCCTTGTGTTGTATGGAAGATTACCATCATAACCTCACTCCTTGAATCTAGATAAAAGGTTAGTCATCTTATCCTGAGATGAGTGACTGAATGAAACTTTCTTGAAAAACAAATACACGAGTGAAACTATCATTGTGCTTTGGATTCTGCTTTAGTTTATAAAGCACTTTCACGTAAGCTACAGTATTTATTCCTCCTGACAACATTGTAAATTATACAGGAAAGGCAAATTTTATCAGACTTGTAGAAATAGTGGGAGCTGAAAGCCAAAAATTATAAAAGCTAGAACTCATAACTAGGTTTTCAAATGGTCATACCTGAATTTATAGTTTTCTGTGGTGCCGTACAAAGATGGATTTAGAAACCTAGTTCTTTAGTCAGTTCAGTGTGTATTGGAGGGGTTTATTTCTCTCTGTCTCATCCAGTTTTCATTAAGTTCTGAATAGTAGACATGAAGAACTTTGTTCATTGGAAGTTCCAGCTATATAGTATAAAACAGGAGTTTAGTATACATCCGCTGACTTTCTTTTCTATCTGTGAAATTCGATAAAGAATGGCATAAAGAAATTGGATAAAGAAATTCGATAAAGGTCTACAGAGGCATATTTACCAAGTTATCTTCCAGGGTAATATGTGTGCTAGCAGAATGAAAGCTATCTTCATGGGTGCTAGCAGAATGAAAGCTATCTTTAAAACATAATGATATTTTTGTGATAATTATATAATTCAGAACTGTATTAACCTTTTCACATATTCCCAAATCTGTTATTAAAAAGAACATTAATTCCACAGTTCTTGTTCAAAGATGAATAAATTTAGTATTGGAATGGTATTTAGGGAAAAGCAATAGGAGAGCATAATCATTTGTTGATGCCTATCCCTAGCTAGTCCTTGACATGTAAATCTTAATCCATTGAGTATTTTTACATTGATAATGACAAAACACATCTAGTATCTCTGTAAAGCTTAGTAATGTTCAATCATTACCAAAGTCAAGTAGTTCTCAGATACTGTGTTTCAGGTTGGAAGTAATTCTCTAGCTGATATTACCATATTTTTATGCAAATAACACGTGGGGTTTACGTTTTTTTGCCAACCACACCCTCCCCCTAAAGGTATTTTTGTAAGCATGCTATGCTAATTTTTTTACATGTTGCTGTAAAAAAATTAGCATAGTGCACTTATGAAAATACCTCGACGGGGGGGGGGAGTGCGTGGTTGGCAAAAAATGTAGAACGCACGTTGTTTGTGTAAAAAATACGGTAGTAAAAGTTTTCTAGCCTATGTTGTATAATTTTTTCTGAACATTAAAAAAATTCCAACTAATTGGTAATTTTTTTTTTTTCAGAATTTCATAGTTTAAAAGTTGCGTTAGGGAAGTGACTTTAGAGAGAAATAAACTCCCTCCAGATAAGTCATTATTGGAAAGTGCTATAGGCAAAAAAGGCAAACAGTGGGTCAAATATATTTTGCTCTCAGGATGTAGCTTGTGCAAAATCACATAATACATGATAATCTATACCTTTGCTAAACAGTTAGATTTGCACAGTTTGTATCTGGTATGTTATATGCTCCAATGTTATTTTTCAACCAGATGCATGTTGAAGGCTTATAAAAATTTATTATATGTTTAATAATCTCTAATTAGAATAAAAAGAATTATATTTCTACTCAGTTATAGAGAAAAACACTAATACGAAATTCCATCTGAAGTAGTTTCATTTTCTATTAATATCTGATGAATAGCTTATTGCATTTTGCTCAGCATACTGTTCCTTACGCTATATAATCACATGAGTAAGCCTAAGAATGTTGTGTTCCTACTGCAGTTTTCTTTTAGACATGAAGTAATATCCCTTGTCAGTTACAACGCAGTAGGCATGGTGTTTGGGGAGATTAGATCTTGTAACCATAGAGCTTGACAAGTATTCCCTTTCTTGCTATTAGGAGAAGCTCCCTAACAGTGCATAAAGGGAGTGGTTGTGAGAAATAAAGCATGACATGCCATTTTCAGAACAGCGACATTAAATATTGTATTTTAAGAAGAAGGACTGGTGATGGGGCAAACAAATTGGCTAGAGCATTTAGGGAGTCTTGGAGATTTAGTGTTCTTCAGAATTCACAGAGTTCTTTAAGTTTAAATGTTAAATGTTGTTATGATGGCATTACTCCACCTAGTGATTTACAGATTTGATGCAATCCCTACCAAAGTCCGTTGACCTTTTTTTTGCAGAAATGGGAAAACCAATCCTCAAATTCAAACAGAATTGAAAAGGGCCCCAAATAACCAAAACAATCTTAAAAAAAAAAAAAAAGTTGGAGGACTCACACTTCCTAATTTCAGAACTTACTAGAAAACTACAGTAATCAAAACTGTGTACTGGCATAAAGTTAAACATGTACATCAGTTGAACAGAATTGAGAGTCTAAAAAAAACCCATATGTATCTGGTCAGTTGATTTTAAACAAGAGTGCCAAGACCATTGAATGGGGAAAGAATAATCTCTTCAACAAATGGTGCTGGGACGCTGAATATCCACATGCAAAAATTAATTCAAAATGGATCATTGACCTACATGTAAGACCAAAACCATGAAACTCTCAGAAGGAAGCATACATATAAATCCTTGTGACCCTGGATTTGGCAGTGTTTTCTTAGATATGACATCAAAAGCACGACCTACAACCAAAACTAGATAAATTGGACTGCATCAGAATTAAAAACTTTTGTGGCTCAAAGGACACTATCAATAGAGGAAGGAGAGTCAGGAATAGGAGGATATGGAATGTGTGACTAATTGCCTCCATGAACAACCACCCCTTTTGCCATAAGACCAGAAGAACTGGATGGTGCCCACCACCACCGCTAAAAAGGAGAAAATGCAGAACAGAATATCAAATTCCCATGGAATCCAAAACTTCTGGATCCATGAAAGTTGGATGAACCCCTGCCCTGAAATAATCTTTAAACCTTAAAACCAAAAATATCCCCTGAAGTCTTCTTAAAACCAAACACTAGTTTAGCTTAACTAGTAAAGAATGTCTTCCTTGAGCATTGTGCTCTTTTAAGATGATATGGAATCAAAGTGACAAGAGCAACTCGAAAGTTTAGGTAGGAAACTTAAGGGGTGGTGAGTTTATGTTAATGGGGGAGAACAACTTACAAAAGGAAGGTGAGAATGGTTGCACAACTCGAATGTAATCAGTGTCACTGAATTGTACATGTAGAAACTGTTGAATTGGTGTATGTTCTGCTGTGTGTATTCTCAACAGCAACAACAAAAACAAATTATTAAAAAAACTCACAGAATGAGAGAAAATATTTGCAAATCATATATTGGGTAAGGGTCTAGTGTCTAAAATATATTAAGGGCACTTAAAGCTCAACAACAAAAAGACAACATGATTTTAAAACGGGCAAAGGACTTGACACTTCTCCAGTGATATACAAATGGCCAACAAACACGTGCAGACATGCTCAGTTTCATTAGTCCTTAGGGAAATGCAAATCAAAAGCACCATAAGATGCCACTGCATACACACTAGGATGACCATAAAAAAAAAGAAAATATTAAGTGTTGGCAAGGATGTGAAAATATTGGAATCCTCATATATTGCCAGTGGAAATGTAAAATGATACAGCTGCTGTGGGAAACAATTTGATGGTTCCTCAAAAAGTTAAATATAGGATTACCATATGACTCAGAAATTCCACTTCTAGATATATTTCCAAAAAAACTGAAAAAAGTTCAACCAGGAAAACTTGTACATGAATATTCATAGCAGCACAATTTATAAATACCAAAATTAGAAATAACCCGAAAGTCCATCCATCCACTGATGAATGAATAAGCAAAACGTAGTGTGTATCCATACAACGGAATATTATTCAAAGGAATAAATACATGCTGCAACATGGAGGAACTTTGACAACACTGCTACCTGAAAGAAACCAAGTACAACAAGCCACATATTATATTCCATTTATATGAAATGACCTAAATAGGCAAATCCACGCAGAAAGCAGATCAGTGGTTGACAGGGGCTGAGGGATGGAAAATTGAGCAGTGAATACTTCCTAGGTTTCCTTTTAGGATGATAAAAAGTACTGGGACTTGATGGTGGTGATGGTTGTACAACCTTATGAATGAACTTATCGCCACTGAATTGTACACTTTAACATAGTTAAAATGGCAAAATTTATTTGTACTTTACCAAAAGAACAACAACAACAAAATCTGTGTGGCTATTTAAAGGTGCTTTGATCATCCATACCCGATGCTATTCAAGAAGATGGTCCATTGATGTCGACTTTAGAGTCTAAATTAGGTATATCATAACCAAAAAGGTAGATTCACAGTTAATACATGGTGGCCGTAATGGTGAAAAAGCAACATTTAATTGTTTTAAAGGATTGAAGCATTGTTCCTGAATGTGCCTCTTTTTCCAGTTGTATTGTGCCTTTGTATAGGGGTAAAGAGCTTGATTAGTGTGGAAAGCAAGAGAAAATTGGCAGAAAACAAAATAAACCAATG